TTTTTTTTTTTTTTTTTTTATGTGTCAGTTTGTGATATATATAGATGTATTACATGTGATTGTTTTCTGCAGTATTTAGAAAAAAAAAGATTCTAAGTTTATGCACCAGAAAAAATAAAACTCAATGTTCCATTAATTTTCTTATTTATTTATCTATTATCCAAAGCAAATTGATGTTATTTGTACATGATATTAGCATCTTTGAAATTTATCAATTTATCAATCAATGAATGAAATACAGTTCGGTTATTATACTGATGTATCATCAATTTCAGCTTGCCAAGTCGGGCCCTCCAAAACACCAAGAGACCAGGGGATCTACCTCCAACCTCTCTACTGTGGGGACCAAGAAGGTCCATACAAAGAAGAGGCCCAGTCATCACAAACAGCCAGTAGGCGCCTCCACGTCCACCACCTTTGCCGATCTTGAGCCCCAGAGGACGTCCAGGGTCCGATTTCCCACTGACCACCCTGTCAATGGTAAGACTGAAAATTTCAATATTTTATTCTGATGAGAAGTGGGAGTAGTTAATTGAAATTAAATGATGTTGAAGTAGGATTAATCCCTTTTTGCACCTTCAAAGGTTTAACTTTAACTTTAAAGCTAACTTGTCATACAGTCATTGTTGCGTATATTTATTTTGTACACCATAAGTTCTGGTTTAAGTTTGATTGAGCAGATTTACATGTTCATAGTGCTTTAACTGATTGCAATCAGCTTTCTTAACTGAGACTGACAAATTGCTGTGAACCCAACATAGCTTTCATCCCCGAACTGTCATAAAGTGACTACAGCGACGCAGATCAGGGTTGATTCAGAGCTTATCTAGATAAGACTCTTGTTTATGTTCCCAGGGTGAAAGAGACTAAAGTGCCATTGCCATAACCCTATACTACCAGCAGGATCCATCTATCTCTGAGGGGAAACTCACTAAATTGCTTTCAGTGTAAGCGCACATGAAAGTTAATAACCTCCTAGCAGCTTCAGTGGGCGTGACGGCCATTTAACCCCCTTAAACTGAAAACAATTTAGCGAGAATCCACTGGGAGTTAGATCGATCCTGCTAGTACTAGTAGTACATTAAGTTTATGGGAACCCAGTCTAAGAGTTGTAATGGTATTGACTTCAGGTCAGGGTGAGCTGCGTGAATTGACCCCCGTCAGCACATCATCCAGCACTGTGTACCAGATTGCCCCAGAGAAGGGAAAGGGACTCACTGTACAGAAAAAGATGAGAGGTGAGGACAAGTGCACAGAGAAAGTCAGAGAGAGAGAGAGATGGTGTGTGTGTGTGTGTGTGTGTGTGTGTGTGTGTGTGTGCACGCGTGTATTTTATAGGATCTATGTCATCTTTTTAACTATCAAAAGTCGCCAGTAATTCAACCAATTTTCAGAATTTTCTTTTTAATTATTGAATACATGGTATGGATATAAGGAATAAACAGAATTAGATATTGAACTATGCAGACGTTAGGTAGGTTAAACATGTGCATGCGTGTGTGTGTGCGTTAAAAAAAATTAATGTCAATATTGAAATTTCTGTTTTAGTGTTCAACTCCAACCTGCCATTGTCTCACTCTCCTGCTGTCAGCACACCAGGACAAAGGGATAAGAAACCCCCTCCAACCATTCCAGCCAACTACAGGAAAGGAGACATCCACATCACTGGGTTTAGTCTTCAGAGATAAACTGACCAATCAGGGGAAAGGAGACATCCACATCACTGGGTTTAGTCTTCAGAGATAAACTGACCAAAGAGGGGAAAGGGGATATCCTTATCACTTGGTTTACCCTTCAGAGATAAACTGACCAGTGACTTGTCAAAACTTGTCAGATTTGAAAGATAACTTCATTGCTTTCAGTGTGTAAATGTAGATTGAGAGAAGATGCCATACTTTTAAATAGACTGTTTTTAGAAAATTATATTTATATTATTAAGTCATGTATTAGACAAACAAACCAAAGAAGGATGTCATATGAACCAAAGTACAACAGAAGTTTTTTCAATCTTTACTAATGAACCAAAGGATAAACATTTTACCAACCAAAGAAAAAAATGTCAACAGTGCTATAAAAAATGTAGCAACTAAAAAAGCAAATTATTTGCTTTTTGAGCATCAGAGAAAAGAACATTTCAACTGATGCTACTCTCACTGGTAGTCAGATAGATATCAGGAAAGTTCTTATTACAATATATCACAAATTGTGCTATGTGATTAATAGTTGGCATCTTTATGATGCATCATCAGTCAAAAGCAAAATAGAGAATACATATTAAAGTTAAAGTTAGATTGAGTAATAGTGCATTATAATGGTTTTAATATGGTTTTGGCATTCTGGCCTTGCTGTTATGGTTGTAAAATGACCAACTTATTTTTGTTGATACATGGGCATTTTCTACTGGCACATATTCCCTACTTAGGTGTAAACAACTGGTAATGACAAACTTTGCCTTGTGCCATATTTATGATGTTATGAATTTTCAGATGTTAAGAAATGCAGATTAATCATGAAATGACACGTAGAAATGTACATCCTTGTAAAATTAAAAAAGGGCACAACGTACTAGTACTTATGAACTTTGACTTTGCAGGAGGACGTTTTCCTGAACAGAATATTTAAAGTCTTGGTTATTGGAGGGGGGAGGGTGTGATTTCTATTACAAGTGCAATAGCAACTAAATTATCAATGCATAGGGGCACCAAAGAGCACATACTTGTGACTCTTACATAGTACCAGTAATATTGTTCTGTGAACAAGAAGTGTGCCTTGAGATCGGTTTGAAACAATGGTGTCAATTTTATTTATTGGAATCTCAAATTTTTAATTAGGATTATTAGTGGAAAAATCATGAACTACCACTGACTGGGAAACTTAATATTGTTTGAATAAATATTGCCTGTATCATACGATATTAGCTGGATGTAAATAGGATCATGTACTGATGCGACCTCGACAAATGGTTATTTTGGTGCTAAATATGAAAGTACACTTTCTCTGTTTTAGGAGTTTTTAACTTGAAATAATATCAGAATTTTATCTGTATATTTAAAGATATGTGTTAATTGCCAAAATAAAATATAAGATAGATAAACTTAACTTTTTCTGTAGTGCAATATTATTTTTGTAAATTCTGAAGCATATTGAATTGAAGAAGACATGTTTATATGGTTGATATTTTATCAACATTTTCCTTGTATCTAGCAGTCATTAAATCCCTGTAAATAGTTACTTCAGTACCTTACTGATTATAAAAATCTAAGTATGAAATAAAACATTCATTACAACTTTTATATTTGTGACAGAAGAGTTTTTATTTGTTACGTACTTCTGTGTGTATTTCGTAATGTTTGCATCTAGTGTATTTAGAATGTATTGATCTGATAAGTAATTCAAGCTATAAAGAATGCTTAAAATATACATACACAACCCTTAAGGATATTGTCACCCTTTGTCCAAAACGCCTTATTAACTGCCTTACACACATTCTGATCACCGGTCTCTCCCTCCGTCCACTCTTGTCTACACTCTCAAAAACGATAATAGTTTCTTATTGACAAAATCGTTTTGGAAAACGACACTAGTTCCTGGTTGCCCGATTTTTTTTTCTCAAAAAACAAAACTGGAAACTGGACATTAACTTCAGCACCCTTCAAGGGGAGCCACGTGGATGAGAGATGCATCAGGTGCTCAGCACATTGTAGCATAAGAGCTAAGCACAATGTGGCACTTTATTGATTGGTGCAATCAAATATGACTTCTGCATGCTTTATCAAATATCCATCTATAAAAAAAGTACAATTGGTATCATAAAAGTATAAAATGAAATGTTTGTTAGTCGGTGTTTTAACCTTTTAACTTTTTAACTAATTTTAAAATATATTCGATCAACTGAATAAAGACTAGTGTAAGTAAAACGTATTTCTGAATGCCTTCATGTCGTTTTACGCATCTAATCCATAAGTCGGTCTCCGGTTCTATGGAACTACCATTCCTGCCACACCGGCAGCACATGGGACCCCTAGAATAAGGTAGTTTGCCGCGTCTCTTTCAACCCCTGACAGCCTAATTAAGTGAAACCGTAAATCAATCTTTACAAATGCTCTGTACTGCCACTTTACGATCAATCTTTTGCAAGCAAGTCATGTGGGATTTTCATAATTAAAGATATATACCAGCTCCTGGCGGCAATTGCAATTTGATGACGACTCTATGTCCCAGAGGGCGTGGTCAAAGGGGGGAGGGGGAAGAGAATGCCTTATCTTTATGGATTTGTACAAAATGTTTTGAAGCGCCCGTTTGAAGTAAAATCTATCCAGCAAGGGGTCATCGAATGAACAAAGCTTAAGGGTGGATCACTGTTTGACTGGTGAATGATTTGTCATTACAGGCGGCTGATGACTCTTAGGACGCCCTGGGATCTATACTTGACTCTATGGTGAAGACACACAAACAATTTTAACGGAAAAAAAGGCTACAGTTATTCACCGATCAAGGCGTATGCATGTTAACATGTATGTATTTATACCAAATATCTAGAATGAAAATTACATTGAATACCAAAGAGAAGTAATTCATGTCCTCCAGAGACCAGTGAAAGCGTGGCCCAGGACCATGCATTCCCAGGGGCATACATTTCCAGGTGCTTTCCTCCTGGGCACAGTTTCCTTCCACGTATACACAGTAATATTATTGGCGGTTGAGAGACGAGATACATAGCACTTGATTGTGTTGCAATTCTTCATTTGCTAATTAATCATTTTCTTAGCATCCCTCATAGACGTCACATTTACGCTATAAACAGTTGTTTTGCCTTTTAGATGATTTAGAAAAAAATGCAATTACCGTTTCTCATCAGTGATCCACCTTGCAAATGGTTTTCTGAAACACCAATAAAAATGTACTCCCTCTCACTGACTTTTAATGCATATATTTGCACATGCTATCTTGATTTTTATGCAAATAAATGACACGAGCAAGGCCAAGTTGATCCGAGCATTACGCTCTTTTGAGTTTATTGTCTAGGCTCTCATACAATGTTTGCTAGATTTTATTGTGAACTACACATAGAAAGTATCGATGTTGTGAGACTCTAGGGTTCTGACAGTGGATGGCAAGCATATTGTGGATGGCTTAATTTGTTAAATGATCTCCTAGGGGAAGAAGACGTTAAAATCTGACATCATGCGGTGGAAAGCAAGAAAAATCGAAAATTAGGAAAAATGGTTCAAGTGTTTCAACTTCACCTGCACTTTCCCTGCAAGCAATTTTAGTAACCTGAAGTTCTCACTCTTGCTCTGAACGTGAGTTTAATCATTTGTGTTTAACATTTACCGGTACTGCAACTGTGACTAACAAACTTTACTCATAACGCAGATGATGCGTTTTGGCGTCGATGATTTTCGGGAGAACGGCTGTAGGCAATCTACAGCACGTGTCGGCATAAGTGCTATTTACATATTAAACGTGCAATCGACTTAGGATGAAGAGTGATCATAATTTGAGGGGGGGGAGTGGGAGTGATTGCCTGTGCAAGAGGGATTACGCACTAGACTAAAGGCCAAGGACAAACTTTGTTCTGGCATAATTAGAAACCATTTCTGAGACATTTCGGAACCGACAAGAAGCAAGTGCCCGGAGAGCTACCACGGTGTGTGTGTAAATATAAGGGAACGCTGAAAATTATGGGAGCATGTCCGTAAATAAACCTGTGTGGAAGTCGTTGCAGAAGCATAAACCATCAGGATAGAAACAACGGCAAAGATGGCAACTTCGGACGCGAGACCGATCCTTGAACGTCGGATCCTCATAATCACATGCTTCATAACGCTGTTAGCTTTTATTTTCTACATTGTGTCGATTACTACTGATTATTGGGCGATCATAGACACGCCAAATGGAGTAAACACGAGTGGGATGTTCATCCTTGGTGCTCACCTTGGAATATGGCGGTTTTGCTATTGGGAAAGCAACGTACCTACGGGCAGTTTATTCGGTAATTATGGGGCATGCCCCTTTTTTAAATTGTGTTTTGTATAGAGTGTTCGTTGAATATGTCGTTTTCCAAAGTGCTTCAGTTTTCTATCCTTAGAAAGATTTTACAAAAGAGAAAGAAAAAATTATTCATAATTGGATTGTTTGGTCTACTACAGAACGTCCTATACCTGTATGAATACGGAAACGTAGAATTCCGCAGGATTCCTCGGTGAATCGGAAAAAAAGATATTATCAAGCATAACGATTAGTATGTTATTTGACCCTGTTTAACTGAAGCCACTTATGTCTTTTCCCAAATTTCTTTGGCCTCTTAATGGCCTGCCCATGTTTCGGACGTTTTACATTCAGGTGGTTGATTGGATATAATAACCCTAAGGTGTATAGTGCCACTTGACCTTCAGATCTACAACACACAAGGCTACATGTACAGAAGCATTTCCTACGAAATCAGACGTTTCATGTTAACTAGCATTCTCCTCATATTTTGGACATTCGAGATGACAAAAATTATATCAAATTTTTTTTCACTTTCTAGAGATGAAATTCATTGGGTTTAGTCATACACAAAAGCAAAGTGCATACTCCATAATAGGTCATTAATCATTTATTCTTTTTGCTTTTTCGACATGCGTTTTACTGAAAGGCTGATGGCGCGTAGATAACGAAATTTATTGGTTTTAGTCAAAGTCGAAAGCTAAGTGCAAACCCCATAACACTTTGTGCATCATTATTTTTTTTTTTTCGACAGCATTTTAGTGAAGTGCTAAAACCGTGATTATGACCATTATTGGATATGTATTGAATCAACCATGAGTACTTACACAAAATATCTAGGTAGATGAATGGCTATTGGACATGAAACTGACATTTTAATGCATTTGCCACACGTTGTGGATTGAGGATCTGTTTATTTATGACAACGGAAATAAGGGGTTTGTTTCAGATTATCGATTGTTCCGAGATCTGGGCCTGCGGATCTTTCTTATCCCTATTTGTTATCTTAATTGTACCAGGTGCGAGGTACATACATAATTTTTAGCACATTGTGAAATATGATTGATGTCCTGAACGACAACCGGCTTAATGTAGATGTAAGCTCATCTGAGAAGGAAGGCGGAAACAACTTGCCTTCATACTGTAGACTCTTTGACTCCTTACTTCCAAGATTGCAGAACATTGGCTATATGCCCAAAACACCTGTGGTAGAGCTTTTGATTTTTTCGTCTTTTTGTGCAATCTGTAACGCACCATTTTTGTTGTATTATCTTAACTTTGGGTAATAGGGCTTTTGCAGCTTTTGCAACTTATGTGACTTTTTTCTTTACTGAAGAGTAAACAAAAGAATGCTGGAGAGCAAGCTCTCAGCAAACAAAATAAGTCAACATCTATTCATCTAAGGCTTATTCGTCAAATGTTGTCTCGATTACTGTTGCTGACACAGTATATATTTACTTGGTGTTTATGTTCTAATAACAGTTTCTATTTAAATTCTTCTCAACACCAATCATGACAGCTTAAGGTACGTTCAAAGTTATCAGTAAGCCGTTTCACAACGTAAATTTCCATGATCCAATTTGCATTTTATTGCCTTTTTTTTTTTTTTTGGGGGGGGGGGGAGACCTCCCTTCACTGCAAAAAATTTCACTTATTATTATTATTATTATTTTGCAAATATTGTGGACATCTTCTGGGCACATTGCAGCACTGCTATTCTCCATTATTATTATTATTATTATTATTATTAGGCCCTAGTATTATTATCTCCCGGAAAGCACTGCAAATCGCTTTCCCCAAACATGCCTCCAACTTGTGGAACTACATGTATAATTAC